GGGGACCTGCCCGCGCCTGGGACCTCCTGAGGACAAACGCGCCGGGGAGGGAGGGGGGGCGGATTTTGTTGCTTCGTTTCAATTTCCATTTCCTTTCGCTTCTCCCGGGAGTATTTTGCGGAAAAGCGATGGCTGCGCTTGCACCTTCTAGCATTTAATTCCACGCAAAACGAAATGATGCGCACATCTATGTATTTTTTTTTTTTCAGCGGTACACACATCGTGTACGGTGCGTGGTATTTTTTTCGTTGAAGCGCGCATTTGCACACAGTAACATTCGGGGAGCGTTCACTTTTTCTTTTTGCTCCCTCCTTCGGATTATGAAAAATAAAATACAATAAAAATCGTCATTCCGCTAACCTCTCGTACGAATAAATAATTTCCGAAGCAGCAAAAGCAGCAGTAAATGCAGTTTGCAGGCTCTCCGTTTAGGCTTTATTTTATGGAAGTTAGGAAGCCGTGGATTCAAAACCCCTTCTTTCTTCCTCTCCGCACCCCCGCCATCTCCCGCCCCCCCCTCCAAAAAAAAGGAAATAATGAAAGAAATAATAAAAAAAAAAGAAAAAAAAAAGAAAGAAACAATCAAACAAAAAAATAACTCGGCAACAACAGCAAAACACAATAAAACTATGAACCCAAGTTGGTCTTAAACGGGGGAAAGAGAGGAAAATACCGCTATTGAAAGAAAAAGAAAATATTTGCTTAGTAAGTCAGCACACGGCATCACACGCACCTAAGGAAAGAGCCTTTATAAGAGACACAAACACTTGTCCATTTTACGGAGCGATGTGGCCTGCGTGTTCCCTTCCCAGCTCCACTCGTTTCCATAAGATCCGCGGGAAATCCCTGCTCTCCGGGAGCCACTAAGGGCAGCAGCGCTGCGGGTCTCCCGACACAGTTTTATCTTTGTTATCTATCTATCTATATATATCTATATTTGCACACGCCTGTGTTTGCATGGAGGCATCACTAGCTTCTCTCAGAAGTCTTTCCCAACGGGATCTTCTCCCCGAGCTAAAACTCAATTAGCAGCTGGCCCCGCTATTGAGTCGATAAGTCTGAGCACAGCCGAAGGTAAACGAAGGGGCTCTCATAATTCATATTCCCTTAATTACATCTTCTCCCGTGAAAAGAGCCGGGAGAAAGGGGGTGTCTTTTTTTTTCTTTCTTTTTTTTTTTTTTTAAGTTATTTAACTTTCCCACGACTCGTTCCCCTGAGCTGAAAATACTGATTTGCTGTCACATCTCTGTTTGACAATGGAGAAATGTGTCAACAGAAAGGAGGGGACAAATCTCATCATTAGCCCCTCTAATGCAAGAAGCTGTTGTGTATTAAATGAGCCATATGGAATTTATTATGCTTTATCAGCGCCTGATTTTAACTGTAAAGTGATTTGCTCAGCTCCAAACTCGGAGACATCTGTTTTCTGTTGGCAATCAGGGCATCCCAATGTTTATCGTCTCTCTGGTTATGAGCCTTGGGTTGGGAAATGCACTCTGGTATGGGGCGGCAAACACCTTTAATAGCATTGCACTCACTCACTATTAGATCAATGCAGGCTTATTGCTATCAAAAATGGGAAATCAAATAGCATTAGCCAGCCCCTTGTGCGGGCGGGGAGGAAATCAAACAACATTTCGCCTTCAAATGGCCCTGTTTGTTCTAGCACTAAGTGGCCTTTTATGAAGCCCGATTGGGGATGTGAGGGCGGCCAAACACGCGGCCAAACCGCGCGGGGCTCGCTGCCCCGCGGCTCCCGGCCCGTGCCCGCCGCGCCGGGGCTGCCCGGGGCCGCCACTCACCTGCACTCGGGCCTCGGTCAGGTCGAGCCTCATGGCCAGCTCCTCCCTGCGGAGACACAGGCCCCGTGAGCGCCGCCCGGCCCGGCCCGGCGCTTGGGCCGCCCCCGTCCCGCCTCGCCGAGCCCCCCGGGTGCTGCTGCCTCGGCAGCCGCTCCCGCCCGTTTCGAGCGTGCGGAGCGGGGCGCGGGACCGACACCGCGTGGTTTGCGCCCCCCAAAAAAAGCAAAGAAAGAACCCCACTGAGCCTCCTTTCCCCGCGGCTCCCCGCCAAGGGGAAACGACCCCGAGCCCCGCGGCCGCCACCGCGGTCCGGGGCAGCGGAGCCAGAGGCTGTCGCGCGTTTTAACCGCCACCGACGTAGAGCAAGCCGGAGAGCACCGAGATCTCGCAAAACTGCCCACCTAAAACAGCAGCGCTCCCATCTCAGCCGGAACCCCCCGGCTGCGCCCCTCAGAGCGGCCCCGTGCGACCGGGACCCCCGCGCCGCCTGGCCCGCCCGACGGCGACGAAAAATCACGGAGAAAAAGGCAAAATCACCGGCCAACTACCCTCCTCCCCGTTATATATGCGCATACCCATATATGTATACATGTATGGATATATCTATATCTATCTATATGTATGTCTGTCCCTGGCAGCTCGGGCTCGAAGCTGCGACCGGGGCGCAGTCGGCAGGACCGCCCGAGGTGACATCGGGCACGGGGAGGTGACACCGCGCCGAGGGGCAGGGAATAAGCTGCCGCCTCACATAAACCTCTCAGAAATAATAACGAGTCCTAATAATAATAAAAATTAAAAAGTAGACGTCCCCTAAGCGGGAGGCGCGGAGCCGGGCACTCAGCCCCCGCTCGGGCCCGCAGCTCTGCCCAGCGGCCCGGGCGGCTCAGCCGCTTTTCCCCGCGCCGAGGAGCCCTCTCGCCTGTCCCGGGGTTAAAATAAACGGGCAGGAGGCGCCGGCGGCGCGAGCGCGGGACACGACGTGCCCGGGCGCCCCGGGGGCTCCGGCAGAGCGAGGCCCGACGGGCCAGGCCGCTATTTTTGGGCTGCGGAGCTTTGATGTGTCCCCCCCACAAACACTCTCCTCCCCCTCGCGGGGCTTCCCCGGCCGGGCGGGGCGAACCCGATCCGGGGGCCAGGGCACGGGCGGGTAAAAATAGCGGCGGGCCCGGCCCGCGCCCGCGCTGCGCCCCGTCCAGCGCGGCCTCGGGGGCGGCTTCCCCGAGGGGGCGGTTCCGAGGCGAGCGCGGCCGCAGGGCTCGGCGGGCGCTGCCCCCGGGCGCGCCCCGTGGGTACCTGGTGAAGACGTCGGGGTAGTGCGTTTTCTGGAAGGCCCTCTCCAGCTCCTCCAGCTGGTAGCTGGTGAACGTGGTGCGATAGCGGCGCTGCTTCCTCTTGAGCAGCCCCTCCTCGGAGTCGCTGCCGGCCGAGAGGCACACGCTCTCCTCGCCGTCCTTGCCCTCGCCGTCCTCGGCGTGCAGCAGCAGCTCCTCCTTGGGCGACAGCTCGCCGCCCTCGGCGGCGCCGGCCGCGGCGGGGCCCCGGCGGGGCTCCTGCAGGAGCCTGCCGCCCTCCTCGCCCAGCAGCTCCTCCTCCTCGTCCTCCTCCAGCTCCTCGTCCTCCTCGTCCTCCTCCTCCTCCAGCATCTCCTCG